GATAAAACGCTGGCCTACGAACGAGATCTACGGGGGAAAGTGAACAAAATTGGCGCTACAATCCTTTGTAAACTCGTCAATCAGACAAGGGACTTTGTCCAAGAGCCAGAAGGGGTGTCTCAACTGATTCTTGGTGTTTACCCTGGCTCCGATCGGGAGGAGATAGTGGTCAACATCCTGACCGAGTACATCTACCAACTCGTCAAGAATGCCCACGGTGACAACTGGGACAAGGAAGCTCGCAAAATGTATAGCCTGTTTCATCGAAATGCTGAGACCCGGGCATGTGCCGGATACGTTTTTGAAGACCGCATACACGAGGTTCTACAACAGGGTAACTCTTGGAAGGCGACAAAGTTGGAAAGGTCCAATCCTAGGAAGAACGCCAAAAACGCCGTATACAACCATTCACCAACCTTTTTCAAATGGCTTCATGCCGGTCGAGATGTGGATTTCTCTGACCAGCCTCCCGCTGCCGCAGGTGCCCTGACTGCGCCTGATGTCCGTCGTTATGACGCTGATCACGCCCTTGAAGTCGAGCTGAAACAGTCAGGCTATTACCGACCCTATTTACCAAACTTTGATTCTTACATGGTCAACATGGACAAGAAGAAAGTTGTGGTTTTCGAGTTCACTGTTTCAGGGACACATGATGCAAAAGTATCGGGCCTGGAGTGGTTGCAGAGACATTATAATGACTTTGAGGTACACTATGTGGTCTTCACAGCTTTGTCGGATATCAAGGTCTACATCCCCATCGCTTTCGATTCTTTCTTGAAGACAAAGTCGCATGTGGTAGTGACAGAGGCACAATTGTTTGCTTAGGAAAATACTACGGGTTCGGCATGAGAAATGCTATTTTGAATGCGTTATTCAACCCACGCGTTAATCAAGTTTGTGTCCCCTAGTAGATGCCGCTTTGATGACAGTATGGACGAGAAGAAGATTGTAGTCTTTCATTTCAGTGTTGCAAAGACGCATGACGCAGGGTCGAGAGATTGGGCTTTGAGTAGTTGAAATGGCATCACGATGATTTTGAGGTGCACTACATATGTGATATTCACGGATGTTACGGTCTACCTATATCGATTGATCCTTTCTTCGTAGTTGTGGACGAGGCGCAGTTTCCTCAGAGAACTCGGCATGCGCAGTAGTGCATATCGAATGTATATATCATTATAGTATATTAATTATATCAACGCAAAAAAACTCTCTCAAATCTCATTCCTAATCAACACACTAAAACATCTCTCACACCACGCCTTACCCCCCCTCTCATAAAAACTCGCATCCTCATCATCATACAACGAAAACGGCTCTCCACACCCTTGACAACAAAAACATTCTCTACACCATTTACCCCCGAGAGCTTCGACGGCAGGAACAGTATCACGTAGGGCTCGACCGCATTTTTTACATTTTGGGAGACGGAGACGGACGTGGCAAGGTTCGCAGTATGGGTATCCTTTGTAGACTGTAAAAGCTGCGACTTCGCCGCCGTTGGTGGAGAGGAAGGAGCCGTCGCCTGAAAAGGAGAGTTCGCCTGAGACAGAGAGAATCAGCACCATCGGAATCTCGTAGAGAGAGAGTAGACTCACCACTCCCCCCAACACCCCCTCTCGCCTCGACAAACGGATCTCCACATTCCGAACAAAAAAAGTGTTGTTCATGATACGTCCTCCTACCCAACGCAGGATCATCCAACGATATAAACCGTTCTTCCACAATAGGCGTCTTGCAATGATAACACCGAGGCGCAAACGCTTCGTGATAACATAAATGACAAAATGGTCTTCCTCTCTTTTTACCCTCTCTATCGATCCCCAACACGTCTCCTTCTCTATCGTGCCCGTGTTCGTCCAAGAGTCCCTCAAAACTACTCACATGCTCCAACAACTCTCCACATCCTACGCATTTGAAGCATCCGGGATGCCATTTGAACCCCATGGCTCCGACTACACGACCGATGATGGGACGGTGGCAGGAGGGACAGATGAGGCCTGTTCCGGTTCGGGAGGCGAGGCCTGGGCGAGTTGGGGTGAATTGGGATGGTGATGAAGAGGAGAAGGAGGAGGAAAAGGGAGATACGGATATTTGGGAGCCTGGACGGATTGGGTCTGCAGAAAGAGAGTAATTAGATACTTGGGTAGAAAAGAAAAGAAAAAGTTGAGACGTACCACCACCGCTGAAATTCGACCCTGGATTCGAGTTCCTGGAAGGAAAGACTCCTGCACCTGCGCCTCTGGCTCTAGGTCCTCCACCGATCCGTTTATTCTTTGACAGTTCATCGTCATCTCCAGAAACAGAAATCATCGGTACACCAGGCGCAGCATCGTCCTCACTGTCGTCATCGTCGTCGTCTTGACCTCCAATCCCAGAGATTGATATACTAGGAACCGGTACATTCGGCGGTCCTGGTCCTCCTCGTCTTACTCTATTCCCAAAACTGGGCTCGTCGTCTCCAGAAACTGAGATACTCGGTACACCTCTCCTTCCTCTATCCCCAAAACTGGGTTCGTCGTCTCCAAAAACCGAAATACTCGGCACACCTCTCCTTCCTCTATCCCCAAAACTAGGTTCATCATCTCCGCCAGAAACAGATATAACCGGCACACTCGGTCCTCCTCTCCTTCCTCTCCCAAACCCAAACCCAGACTCTTCATCTCCACCAGAGATTGAAATACTCGGCACACTAGGCTGCGACTGAAAAGCCGACACAGGTGCTGGTGCAGGTGCAGGCGAAACATCTCTCGACTTGGGCGGTGTCCCCGTAGAAAACCCCTGAATCTGAATCATAGGCACCGGAGCTGGAGATTCGATTTTTGTTGGGCCTCTAACGGATGTTGGAGCTGGGTTTTGTTTCGGTGGTGTCTGCATCTGTGTATGTTGGAATTGGGTTTGGAATTGGTTGTGAGTCTGGGTTTGGGTGCGTGTTGGGGATGTTGATGGGGTGAATTGGGATTGGGATTGGGATTGGGAGTGAGAGCGAGGTGGGAGCTGCGACTGAGGCTGGGGTTGTGTGTATGGCTGGAATTGGGATTGACTTCGAGTGTATGATGAAGGCTGAGTCGTCATCGGTCGTGTCGGAGAGTGAGGTGTATGACTGTAAGATTGTGGAGGGGGAGGAGGTTGCGTTTGATACTGATACTGCTGCTGCTGAGGCTGAGAAAATTGTGAATGGTGTTTTGGAGGTGAACTCGAAGTAAACGTCGGAGTAGTCGGACTGCGTGATTGGAATTGAGACGACTGGTTCTGTGATTGAATTGCAGCACCAAATGTCCTCGAAACTGGACTCGAGCCAGATGCAGAGTACCCCGAACCGAAAACATAACCAGGAGGATAGTTTGTGTAGGAAGTAGAAGAGTTGGAACGAGATCTCGAGAGGGGAAACTGGGGAGATTTGGGTGGACTGTTGTTTGGGAAATAGCCAGATGCAGAGTATGCATTGGGACTGGGAGGAGCGTTACTTGTTCGAGTAGGACTGTGATTATAGGTAGAGCCTGAGTAATTGGGAGAAGGAGGCTGAGGATTGTGCCTGCTTATTTGTTGCTCTTGTTCCCGTTGGATCTGTCTCTGCTGCTGAAACTGTTCAAAGGCTGAAATGGGCGGAGCAGGAACCGACTTTGATCTCTGATGCATCTGCATCTGTTGGTGGTACGCCTGCTGCATGGGTGTCTGGTACATTTGCGATTGCGATTGCGGTTGTGGTTGTGGTTGCGGTTGCGGTTGGCTCCTAAGACTGGTGGCAGGTCTCGGGGGCAAATCGTCCAGATTAAGAGGTGGATTAGGGAGTCTCGGTAGATCCTGCGGCCAAGCCATGTTCATGTTTTGCATCTGATCTGTCAAATTTTCCACTGGTGCCCTCGGACCACCTCTGCTCTGCACAATTGTATTCGCCCTGCTCATGTTTGTATTCGCCTTTGACCGAGGCGGAAGATCAAGAATGCCATACTGGGGAGATGGTGGTTCTGGGATCGGAGACGGTGGCCTTTGCTGATTCTGAGGAGAAGGCAGGGGTCTTCCTCTCTGTACGGGTGCAGATTGGGTGTGCGCCATGGGAGGCATGGTTGCCCGTTTCCAATGTGGCACACTTGCACTGGGATCCAAAATGGGATTTGGTTGGAATCTGGGTGGACTCTGGCGTCGCACCTGGGGAATAGGGTGGTTCCATTGTCGTTGTGGCTGTGGACCTGGTTGGGGACGTCCAAAGGATGGTTGTCCCTGTTGGTAAGACATAACCCTAGCGGATTAGGAACCGTCTCTATTGCGTCATCGCTCATCTCTCGCCATCTGCTCATCCTCACTTCTACACACGGTTCGATGGCGTAGTTGGTTATCGCATCTGTCTAACACACAGAAGGTCCCCAGTTCGAGCCTGGGTCGAATCATTTTGAATCGTACTGCCTCCAAATTTTTGGCCCGAAACAGCAATGTTCGCGGAGACTGCACTTTTGCATCGTGTCCACATCTCCTTGTCCATCGTGTCCTATTCCATCCCGAAAAAGATCCCTTCATACAGCAATATGTTATTTCCTGCAGCCCCGGAAGAAACAGTCCGAATAACGTCGGGTCGCTGACGAGCAACCCCTTGTTATGGTCAAATTTCTGCCCAAGTGCTCAACATCATGTCTCCTTCAAGCTCCAGACTCGGCCGCCAAAATATCCTCAACCTCAAATAGGGCCTGCCTAGTCTTTCACTTTCAAATTCCATACGCCATCCGCCTCGAGCGACGCCACCATAGGACTGGAAGTTGTCTACTTACATACTGGTGTCACCAGCGTGTTCACTGGAAGGAATTCGAACCAAGCGATAGATCCAACCAGTTCAAGTTCACCTTCTTTTATTTGCTTTGCGGAGATTGCCAGAATTTGCCACATAGCCTCGACTGAAACGGATACGGAAGACTTGGATCCTTCCAACATTTCTGTCCCGAAAAGCTCGGGTTTTGACTTCAAACAGCCACTACTTTCATTCTTTCTCTCAATCACCATTTCTGTATGGTTCGATGGCGTAGTTGGTTATCGCATCTGTCTAACACCTCCAACTCTGTTGTGTCGCACAGAAGGTCCCCAGTTCGAGCGTGGGTCGAGTCATCTTGTAATATCATTCCACTTTTTGCTTACTTATAATAGTCAGTAATCGAATGCTGGGTAGCCAAGTGCTTGATAAGTAGGGTACTCTAATGGTTGTGACTCTACACCATTTGATTATACTTTGTAGACTTGTAACTTATACGTCTCAGTGCACTTACAGCTATTGGATGCACTCACGTTTCATTTTACATGGTTCGATGGCGTAGTTGGTTATCGCATCTGTCTAACAATAGAAAGTTGCACAGAAGGTCCCCAGTTCGAGCTTGGGTCGAATCATCAATTCCTGCATTTGTTCACTTTTCCTTTTCATACCGCTGGCAGACAATCAGTCCTGTAACAGAATAAGTAACATCGTGGAGAACACTCTCGGGGTTGAGGGAATGAAACCAAAAGGTTGGGAGGCGTGTATACCTCGAGGAACTTTGTCTGTGGCTAGGCACCAGTCTAGCCATATGGTCGGAATCGTATACTTACCAAGATAGAATGACTATCAATACCATCGCGTCAATACTGTGCCCAACTTGCAAATTGGAACTTTGAGGTAGCACTATCGCTAGATAGCCACGGCTAACGAAATACCAGTGGGACCGGACAAAAATCCAACGTACTCAACGTTGAAAGTTGAACTCAGGGTTGCACCTCGACGAGAAAATATGTAAAATAGCCCCTGTCATCGGATAATGAGCCCGGAAGTTAACCGGACATATACCCGTTATTTCCGGGGTAAGCCCAAAAAAAAAAAACAAATTGCTTTTTACACGATGTTTACACGCCCTACTAGCCTCTACTAGCTCCATCGATATTCACTACAATTTTGGCGACGGGATACTCGACAGGTACTAGCCCCACTGGCATCCGATAGGTAATGATTAGTGAGGTTGGGTGGGTGGCCCCAGAATCCTGGACAGAACCGGATTCATCAAGACGGATGCAAAAAGGAAATCGAGGCGGCGGAAAAAAACTCCAGTTCCAATTGGAACAACGGTACTCTTTATCCAGAAGGTACCGGTGTGTGCACACATACCTATTTCAGAGATCCTTCAAGTTCTCCGCGAATTGATGAGAGTCTTGAGACAAATATGTCCTATGTTTTCGCTTCACCGAGCCTCGAGGCAGTCTTCTCAAGATATTATCTTATATCTATGCACATCATAACTTTTTTTGGAAACTCCGAGATCTTGTTAGAAATATATTCCTATGGATGTCTTACTCTCAACGCCTCGAGGCAGCCAGCCCAGGCCCCCATCATGTAGTATCCACGATAGTCGATGTCTCAAGGCGCGTCATCGCGAGGGCTCTAAGGAACAGATAGCGCTTCCGGACCGGTCGACAGAGAACGAACGAACGGACAGACTGAGACCTGTGGTCAGGGCAACCCCGCCCAGTCTCTCCAGCTCTTTGGATCTCCTCGGGATACACCAAGAACGTCGTCGCGTAAGTTGACGGCGAGTCCAACGCCGGGTCTGATTGAAGGGATGTTGAGAATGAAATGTTTGACAAGAAAACGACGGTCGGTTGCTAGAGAAGTTAACCACTTGTGTTCAAGTTATGTCAAGTGATGCACGCTACTGAATACTCAGCGCCGAATGTCTTTATTTTTTGTCGCTACTTTAGCGTTAGTTCGTTAGTCTGAAAGGCAGAATGATAAGTATTGATTAATGCAATTATAACTTTTTCTCTCACTCTAACGCCACCTTTGATGGACAAGAGTCGCGTCAAAAAGAAGCATCCCAAGACAGATAATTCGAAGCTAGAACTTTCGATCATGATCTTCATCGTTTTAATGATTTGCGCTTCCTGGACAGAAACCGTCAATTGATAGAAGAGTTCTTGTTCTTGGCTGAGTGCTAGACAAAAGAGTGACGATGAATGGGTCCGAAACAATATACATAGGTATGAATCTATAACATTTGAAGCAAAAGATGTCGATACCGACTAGGAGTAAGATAAGGTAAGGTTTGGGGCTGGTGATACAATAAAGTAAAAGCAGAGGAAAGGGAAGAAAAGCAGTCAGTGAGATAGGAAGGGAGTGTTAAGCAAAGTTTGAAAGAACGTGAGGAAAGACCTGATGCTTTGAGAAACCGTCAAGTATGCTACAAGAACAAAGCAGAAATTGATAGCAGGAAGACTGGAGTAGTAATGTATGCGTCGCACAATAGTGCGCAGGAAGACCAGAGACAACAACGAGACGGGGTATCCATCCTGTACACCTTTTTTTTCTCTTTTGCGAAATTTCTTCCAAAGGTACGGTGTTTGGGACATTTCTTCAATGACTGTTCCCATTAACCAAGACAGCCTCTGACGCTGCAGCCTGTACTGGCTTTGCCCAATTCAACCACCACTCATCTACTGCGTCCTTTGCGTCATAGTTAAATTGCCGGAGATAATCTGCCCAAGCTCGAGCAAGAGTTTCATCGTCTGCGCCCTCGAGGTGGAGTGTCATTCTTAGAGCTTGGTTACGGGAATCTCGGTGAGGACCAGGGGGCATCCCGATCGTGCGGACAGATGCCATTTCGGATTGTTCAGTTTCATGGGTGCGTGACTGTCTGATTTGATCGTAACCAGAGAGGAGGAGATGGATTTGGGAACGATTTGTGAGGTGTGAGAAGAGGCGGCCGAGGGTGAAAGCATCTTCAACCTGAGATAGAAGTGAGAATATTGAAAAAGAGCATATTATATCTGACTCACTGCCGTTGCTCTGTAAACAGTGTGTTAGTAATATAATTAAAATAAAAAGTGAAAAAAAAACGCACGAATTGTATGAACCATTTATCTTGTATCCTCTCAGTAAAATCAGCCAAAGCATGGAAGAAATTAGAACACACCGGTGTTGAATGGGCAGCGTCTCCAATGAGAATTACTTGTTCTGTCCTATCCACATATCTCGGAAGATTATGGACTACTTGGGTATTCCAGTGAACCGAAGAGCCCAACGACATCGCCCGGCTCACCCTACACGTATAAGAAGAATCAGAAAAACGAACCACAGATAAAGTTTTGAATCTGGAGCGGAACGAGATGTATGTACCTCCGTTTAGCAGGGTCGAGTCGGCTGGTCGTGCTTTCGGGGACATAAATACTAACGGAAGCCACAACCAGAGTGCCTACCTTTGGTCATAATGCCCCATTTTCTCTATCAACAACTCTACAGGTTCACCCTTATCCCATTCCGAATCTTTCCAATCCGAAGCTGGCAGGGCATACGTTAAACCCAAAACATAGAGATCTGGCCCGTACTGAGAAGTTGTCAGGATAGTATTCAAAGTGTTTCAAAAAGACCCACTCTTCCTCCAGTTATGCTGGATCCATCCCCCATCCATATACTCAACTACACGAATATAAGTACAAAATCATGTTAAGAAATTGAGACATTACCTTGTCATCCTGTAACATCGGTGCCAAATCCGGATCCTTTTCCATGAGGGCGACAGGGACGGAAACAGTTGCTCTGAGTTCAACGCATCAGTAGAAAGACACATCCAGAGAACTAGGTGCGCACCCTGTAATTTCGGAGGGCATTTCCATCTTCGCTTCATCTCCCGCAATCTCCAGTGAGTCATCCTCAGACTGATCTTCCGCAATCAAGATGGAGCGAACAACGCTGTTTTTTCCATCGGCACCGACGACCTGTACATTGGTGAGAAATGTCTTCGGTGACGGGAAAAATGACTATTTACGATGTCGAATTCGAGGGTCTCTCCATCTACAGATAGCACCGACACCGGTAATTCTTGGCGCAGCTGTAAGTCCTTGACTTGGAAGTTATACTTGAATTCGACGCCAATCGATTCGCATAATGTGTAGAGATGATTGCAAAGTGCGGTATACTGATAGACAGAGTAAATCCGTCAAAGAAGCAAAGAAGCAGAAAATTTGTATTGAAGACGTACGGGAATCATATAGAAGTCACATCCTAAATCTGACATCACTTCATCCATGAAAATCATCTGCCCGACCAGCTTGGAAGTGTCTCCTGTTGAGGGATCGCATGAGTGGTGGAATGTCGCTTATGGGGAAAACTGACCATCACGAAGAAGTAGACTGAGGCCGGACCTTGAGCAAAACAAAAGCCGCCTAAACACCACGACTCACCCAGAGCATTTTGTCGCCATTTGTGCGAATAAGGTGTCGACTCCAGGAAATTCTTGCAAAAGTCGCGACATATTTGGTGGAATTCTTAAGCCTCCATCAGTCTGTAGAACTTGTCAGACGCGTTAGAACCAATTTCTTGAAAACCAATCACCTGGTAGCCAAAGTTGTTCATCTCCAGCACCGTCACACTATGACCTGCCTCTTGCAACAAGTAGGCACATGAGAGTCCCGCAACACTTGCGCCGACAACACCGAACCTAATGGAAGGAGTAGAACTGGACATTGTGGTGGTAGAATAAGACGCTCAGAGACCAGGGCCCCATTTTTACCTGAAATTTCACTGATCCGGTTAAGGTCAGGCCTGGTAAGCCTGGTAAGAAAACGTAACGTAACGTCTGACTGCCGATTTTTGCTCAGATCTATGTATTTCCCTTGTTTGGTAACCACCAGCTCCTTTTGTTGAACCAGGCCCAAAACCTGTCCCAAACGCAAATGCATCAAGCATCGCATCGTATTCATTTGTGTAAGTATGTGCAGACCGACCCTGCAATTGATAAAATCAGAAAATTCCCATGTTCTGGTTCCGCTTTTCTCACATAGAAAACTACGAGACCACCGACTGTCGTCCGCCTTGATGCGCATGTGGAACTAGGTGGAATTCTTCAACACGTACCTTGTACAGTCGAGTTGCTCAAAACTTAGTACGGACCAAGCTTGACCTAGTAACAACGAATGACACCTTCCATGCTCGAGTTTCTCCTACCGAAGTCAACCTTCCCTGAGGCATTTGCGTCGGGCCGAAATGTGGCAAATGAATACAGCGCAGGCATGGCAGGGCGATACACGGGGAACTTTGGTCAGTTCGAGCGAGTTGACAAGTCGTGGCAGGTTTCTTGGATTCACGATTATTCCCTGAAATCGCCCTTGGACGGTGTCAAGACCTACGGCGGACTCAAGTAACAATGCGTGTATATATAAATGCTATGTCCATCTCAAATCCACCCTCATTGTCAATCCCCTCCCACCAAGCTATGACTGTTTCACTTTTGTACTATATTCTTGCACGCTCCTACTCTTGCCCCGGTTGCTTTGCTTGGAACTCCTCAGCCTATAAAATGCTCTATGACCTGTCTTGGTGCACTGATTGTCTACACTGTCTCTCTGAACCTTCGTTTCTTCTGTCA